AGGATGACCGGCGGGAAGGAAGGAAACAACGGCCGGGCAAAACGCCGCGGTTTTTCCCCTTCCTTTGAGCCTGGCTCGTCATGGTTCCTCTTTCCAACCCCCATCCCTTCCATTCCGAAGCTACCGAAAGCGCCTTTCCCTTTCCAGGGCGCCAAAATGAAAAGAAAACGAAGCCATCCTCCGCCATTTCCGGGACTCGGCCGCTTTGAAGCCGCCCTCGCTCCGAGATGAGGAGAAACTCGCCTCTCCTTCGCATCCCGCCGTCGCGCGCCGAGCCCGCTAAACCATAGAGAGAGGGGGGGAGGGAAGGGCTCGGGCTTTTATCCACGTGACCTGAGTCTAGACCTATTCGTCACATAGCCTACCGCCGCCATCTTGAACAAGGAGGAAAAAGGGCGGGCGGGAAAAGGTAGGGCAGGTCTGTAACCGTTCATACCGAAGTAAGGTGCGGGTCGTGTCAGTCCCCCTGAGAAGGTAGGGATTCGCCATAAATGCTTTGTCCCTGCTGAGAGAAATGCCGGAGAACTGCACTATTTCACCCGTCACTGGCGTTAGCTGGAAGAGAAACCGGCGGGAAGCTACTGCTCTAACTGAAGCGTATTGGGAAATGTAGTCCGCACGTGCTAAGTCAATGCCAGTGAGTCAAATGCATTTTGTAGAAGGGAAAGAAGTAATTAGGTTTTCGGCGTACGATGTCAACTGCGGCATCTTTCCTGAGTTGCGGAGGAGTCTAACAGACAAAGATGCTGAAAAATACTATGATGAGGGGGCGGATAAGTATAATTATGCATAGGGTTCCTCTGTGCACTAGATTGGTTACTAATACATCGGTCTCCAAAGCAGTTCATACGTGAGTAATAGAGGCATTTCTTTATAAGAATACACAAATGGCTACTATGAAATACAAATATTAAAACTATAATAGGCAATTCCTGGTCAGTTCACTGTCTTACTCCTAAATATTCACGGATAATCTGAAGATCTACTCTCCTTGCTTTGGCTATAATGAATCTATTTGTAAAGAAAGATCTATTTATGTATAAATATAAGGTTGTCAGAACTCGGGATTTTTGCCTGGAGACTCAGAATATGGCATCCCTTGTTTAGGTGTCAGGCTTTGCACCCGAACTCACACCTCAACCAAAGCAGCGATTCATTCTTATGGCTCACCTCTGGTTTAAAAAAAGTGTTTTGCCAAAGTGCACTGTAGCCTTCAGCCTGCAAATCCTCCCTTAGAAGCTCTAGGAGGCAGATCCTTGACAGCGTTGCTCCCTTGAAATTAATGATTGTGCCACCACCTTGTCTGTCACACAACACACCACTTTTACAATTATTCCTAAAGAGTCTGCTCTCTGATGTGACAAGTCGGAGCTTGTAGGTGTCAGGCTTTGGTGCTGAAATCCTTAGTCTTTAAAAATTCCTGTTCCTCCTGTGAGTTCTGCTTTAGGATTCTTTAAGTACTTTGGATTAGACAACTCTCCCCTACCCCAGTACTCCTGCCCTCTATAAAGCAGGATATATTGACATGAATTATACTGTAGGAGCAGAGAATACATTGGTTAACGGAGCTTCCAATGATCGTACATCACCACCAGGATAAACTTAACATAGGGAAGACCATAATTCAGATGATATGAATGTAAGTCATAGCACTATATCTGCAGTAATGTTGTGTAGTCTTAAGAGCTAACAAAGGAGGAGTACAGGCAAAAATATTTTTTCAATGATCCTTCTTTGCTGCAGCTGGACATAAGGCAAACTGGTGGCCTGAATTTGACCCCTGAGTGTCTGGAAGTTTGAATTTGGTTCCCAAGCCCTCAAGGTGCACCATGGCCATATAGAGCAAAGGAACATTTAAAACAAGCAATTGGGGTATTTTTGGGGAGGGGAGTATCTCAGGGGACCCCTAAGCCTACGTGAAAAAAACATACACAAACTCCCTCAAACACTGTTTTTGGAAGTGCTGGAGAATTACAGTAGGCCCTTTGGGGGGGTTTCCCCCTCTCTGTTTTGAAATTGGTTGATTCTGGAGTGGCTCTGGGGTCACAAAATGCCCCTCAGGGTGCCATATAGCTAGAAGTTGCACTTTGCCCAACCCTGAACTATAGGGATCAGAAATAAAAAGAAGAGCTAGATACTATTTTTTAACCGTATTTGGGAATTTTAAGCTCATTCTTAATATTCCTCTTACAGATGTTCTATTGCAGAACTTCTCAGCAACTGTCACTCTAGTGACTGGGGTGCTAGGACAGCGATGAAAGTGCAGATCTGACTTGCATAACCAAAACGTGGACAGGCAGCGATGGGAGTCTCCCTCTATCTCTTGCCTATCCCCTCAGTTATGCTGTCCAGCACTAGGGTAGACTGGAGGTTTGGGGGGGGGTGTTGCCATTGTTTATAAGGACACCCTTGAGGTTGTCAGGCTCTCTGTGGTGGCCACACCAGGCCTAGAGGCCCTTTACGTGTCAATTGGGGCCAGGGATGATATTGGGATCTTGCTGGCATACCGTGGTGCCTGCGACCCAGCCACTTCCCTTCCAGAGTTGGCGAACTTAATCTCTGGGGGCACTGTTGGGATCCCCGAGGCTGATTGTCTTGGGTGACTTTAACATCCATGCAGATGCAGAAGTCACCGGTCCAGCTCTTGAGTTCTTGGAAACTATGGCTTCCTTGGACATGTCCCAACATATTAATGACCCCTTGCATGTGGGTGGTCACATGCTGGACCTGGTTTTTCTCCACTGAGCTCTGTCCTCTGAAGATGCTGGCCACAGAGACTGGCGAAACGTCAGGAAGAACAACCTTCAGAACACGGCCAAATAGCCCGAAAAACCCACAACAACCAGCATTTGATTATGCCGAGTTGCCTACTTTTGCAGTCCAGTCAACAATTATCATTGTTTTGGTATGCAGTTCATTTCCTCCTAGATGCTTGCATAAAAGCTTTCAATTTCTTCTTCAGCATCTTTAGTTGGAGCAGACTTGAATGATGGTTATAGGCCCCTTCCAACTCTATTATTCTGTGGTAATTTTCATAGATTTTCCTGTAAGTCTTGATTGATATTATTTGGGCAGGTTTTGCATTATAGCCTCTAACTGCCTGTGCTACATCTTACTTCAGTATTAGAAGACTGTTTCTTTTGAGTTTGTCATTCCAGAGTAAAACACTTTGTACTTGTCTTGACTGACAATGTCCTATTTCAGCCTACTTTCATTTGCTCACACAAACTACCACAATATTTAAACATTCAGTTTCTTACTTTATGGTTTGTTCACCTTGATTTATACTTCTCATGTTCCATGTTCCAATTGTATGTGTTGTGCAGTATCCAGTTTTCCTTTCACATCTGTGCACATCACCCATAAGATGTCCTTCTGTCTTGCATCATTAGCAACAGTGCTGTTCGTACTTGTCTGTTGTTCTTCCCTAATAGCTGACCGAGTGCGTTCTGACCTGAGAGACTCATCTTCCAGCCCTGTCTCATTTAATTTTGAATTTTCTCATCATAAGGTTTTCAAGGTAAAAAAAAATCATTGGTGATTTACCATTGCCTTCTTCTGTACAGTACTAAGGAAAGCTTGCATGTCATTGACATTTTCTGTGAAAGATCCTCTGTCAGTATTACCTTCAACTGCTGCCTAGTAGCTGCCCTTTAAGAGTTTCTCTGCTCCCATCACCATTGGAACTATCCATTCTCTTCTGCTGATGTGACTGTTACTCCTCAAGAGGATGGAAGCATCTTAGTCTGGAGCCTGAGCTTTAACCATTCTGCAGGGTGTCCCTGCAAGGAGTCCAAACTAATAATGGACGCTAGCCTCCTGATGGCATTGCTTTCAGCTTCTTTGACCACCTTAGTCCCTCTCATCCTATTTAGGTGTGCATCCTAGAGGAGGTGTCAACACTACATACTTGTAAGGTTCTCTCCACAACAATAGAGAATGATGCTTCCCATGCACAGAGTAGGCAGGTATGTTCCATGTCAAAGACTCTCTATCTCAATATTGGCTATATTCTCATTTTCCCTTTTGCCTTACATGTCCATGTTGTAGACAGATGGATTAAACCAAGTAATTGTACACATGATGTTCCCTTGTGACTCCCAAGAAAGAAAGGGTAACCATGTTAACAGACATCACAGCCTTTTGTGACTGCTTCCTGAGAAAGTGAAGTACTGGAAGGTAGTACTAGAAAAGCAATGACGAGGATGCTGATGCCATGTTTGGATTAGTTTGATCATCCATTTGCTTTCTTGACACTGTGTACTTCATCTTGTAACATACGAGGAAGAGGTAGCCAACTGGGTCCATGAAGTTATAGATTCCTTACTGATAGAGGAGGCCTACAAGCATCTTTGAAAATCAGACTGCCCCTGAAAAAGAACTGGATTTGACCAGTGGAGTACAACAGCAAACCCCTGGCTAGTTTCCCCTTCTTAGCCAAGGTGCTCAAGCAAATGGTTGCTGATCAGTTCTACAGTGGATGAAGAGTAACTATACTAGAGATGTAATATTTCTGAAAATTTCTATTTTTTTCTAAGAAAAAAGGAAAAAATTCCCTCCCCCAGAAATGGAAATTTTAGAAAATTTTACATCTCTATACTAATATCCCACACAAAGATGGACTACAAGCTATAACAAACACCATCCAAAACAAGGAAAAAACCCACATAATCACCACCTTCTGTGATTTTATATTCAATAGACAACTGTTTCGCCTTTGACAGTAAAGCCTACCTCCAGATCAACGGGCATTCACATGGCCCCACAATATGCAAACATATTCATGGCTGATCTGGAACAATGCTTTCTAAACTGCTGCACCTAAAAAAACACTTCTCTATTTGAAGTACATTGATGAGATTTTTCTGATCTGGATCCATGGAAAGGAATCCCTAGAAAAATTCCACCAGGATTTCAATAACTCATCCAAACATCAACCTTACCCTGGAACAATCTATGTAACAGGTGAATTTTCTAGACGCCACTATGAAACTACAACATAGACATCTTAGCATCAGCTGTATTAGCAACCCATCAACCAATATACCTAGCTGCCTTCTAGTTTCCATCCTGAACATACTACAAAACCCATCATATGCAGCCAAGCCGTAAGATACAATCACATCTGCTCTGACTCACAGGATACAGACTCCAAACTCAACCCCAACCTCAAGCAAATACTAACACACAATGGGCAACAAAACAGCAACACAGACAGGAGGACTAAACCCTGCCACAGACCCAGATGCCAACTCTGCTTACATATCTATTCTGGCAACAGAATTATAAGACCTAACAACTTCACAAAGGCAGCTTCACTTGCTCCTCAGATAACATGATCTATGTCATCTTTTGCCAACAATGTCCCTCTGTGCTCTACATAGAACAGAAAAATTTCTATGAAAATGGGTCAATGATCACAAATCTGACATCCGAAACAATACACTGTTTTCAATCACTTCAATCTACCAGGAAACTCCAAGGAAGATTTGAAAGTCATTCTTTTAGAACAGAAGCATTACAAATCACGAATACAGTGGGAAAGAGCTGAGATAAAATTTATACACTCATGTAAATGGATTGAATATAAGCCTAGGTTTCTTAAATCATTACCAAATGTAATACTTCTACAGTGGTGCCTCGCTTAACGACGATAATCCGTTCCAGGATTTGAAAACATCGTAAAGTGAAAATAAAAACCCCATTGAAGTACATTAAAACCCGTTCAATGCGTTCCAGTGGGGTAAAAACTCACCGTCCAACGAAGATCCTCCATACAGCGGCCATTTTCGCTGCCTGTATAGCGAGGAATCCGTCCCTAAACACAGCAGGGAGCCGTTTTAATCACCTGGTGGCCATTTTGAAAATGCCTATCAGCTGTTAAAATGTCATTTTGCGAAGAATCAGTTCCCGAAGCAGGGAACCGGTCATTGCAAAGCGAAATTCCCCCCATTCAGACCATTGTTTTGTGATCGCAATTGCAATCGCAAAAAGATCGCCATTAAGCGGATTCGTCATAACGTCGGACAATTGTAAAGTGAGGCACCACTGTCATCGGACAATTGTAAAGTGAGGCACCACTGTACTGCATCTACTTCCACTGTTATTTTCTTCACAACTACCAAGCCCATCTCTCATCACAAGGCTTAAAAACTGTCATGGGATTCTTCAGCCATCTTCTTTCTCCTTTATATTTAATATTCTCTTTCTCTCTCTCTTTTTTTTCCTCTCCCTCTCCCAGTCTTCAAATCCCCCTACAAACACGCCTTTCCTCTGGTATCCTTTTGTGCTAGCTGTATCTGAACAATTTCAGACATGTTTCTACTTGAACACCTGTTATCAGAAGCTGAAATGAGCAGATTATTACTCTGTTCTGTGAAATTAGTGCAAATAAGTCTGTTTTGTAATTTATTTTATTGGTCAGATAAAAGTATCATCTGCTCCTGCATTTGTATTGTTTTGCGGACCACCCAGCCTTTTCCTGATTTTTTTCTGAACTGTTAAGATACCAGAAAATGGCTGGTCAGGGCCGTCTGGTGTCAAGAATCATGGATTCTTGACACCAGACAAGCAGTACTGCATGCTGAGGAAAGCATCCACCAGGTAAAAGTATTGATTTGGCTTTAATTCTGCTAAAATTGGCTGTTCCTGGTGCTTTAACTAAATTTTTATTCCCAATTCTGATGAAGGCTTGCCATGCTTCTGGTTGTCTTGTTTTCCCTAGCCAAACAGAAATTCTTTGAGTTTTAAAAAAAAAGTGGAAGGGGGAAATGAGGGAGATCAGAGTGCTTGGTGACTCTCTGTCTAAAGAAAAGTTGTGTGATAAATTCCAAACCACTGGCTGAGGAGGGGTTTGAAGCTACACCCTGCCCCCACAGGCCTATTGCAGAATGCAAACTACAGCTATTTCCACCTCAGAAGTTACACCTGGCCCTTAATAATGGCCGTGAGACTTTGGGACTTTAATAAAAACAGATAGTTTTGGAGCTACTCACAAGAACTTGGTGCACAGTTTGAAGATGAATTATCATTAAAAGGTCACTTTTTTTTAGTGGTCCAACAAAGGTATCACACCTGTGCCTGCACTTTTACTTACAGTAGATTACTGAAGTAGATTACCGCAGCCTGTTCTATGTGAGATTTTCTGAAAATGGTTTAGAAACTTTTGCTAATCTAAAACAGAGCTACTAAGCTACTAACTGGGATTGTACAAAAATCATACAACTTTGCATTAAAATTTAGATCAGTTTAAAGAAGGGATTTTTTTAAAAAAAGAAGACGCTTGAATAAATACATAAAATAAAAATCTAACTTTAATGAATTTATATCCATGTATCTTTGTTTTTTAGTTATCATCTCAAAAGTGCGGGTGTACGAAGCACAATAAACTGTTAACTGTCCTGGAGCCTGTGAGAGAAAACAAGGGAATAGAACATAGGATGCTTCATGTAAGAGTAACTAATAAACAGGACTTGTGACAATATTTACTGTCAGTTTGTGAAGACAAGTCTGTAAAATGTGCCTTCTGGTAATTTACTGTTTTGTTGAGTTTTTCTGTTGTAGAAACCTTATATAGTAAGGGAATTACAGAAAAGGTATGCATCTTTCTGGAAAGACCTAAATATTATTAAAATCCAAGTTATATGCTATAATAATGTTTGCAACAATGAAGACATCTTACAGGAAATATCCATTCCGTGATACTGCATAACAGTAAAGGCAAACAACACTTGTACTTCATGACAGTTTACTGTATCTCTAAACTATCTTCAAAAATACACTTCTTGGTTTGTATCACACACATATACTTGAACAGTAGGACAGTTATTCTTCAGATTGGAAAGACATTACAAAACAAAGCACTTAAGATTGTTGAAACAATGACAAGAAATACAAGTAAAATATTGCTGATATTTGAAATAATTTTGTCATAATTCAACAACAGTGACCAATGTTATCTGGGGCAAAAAAACAAACAAACCCAGTTACATATACATTTCAGAGAGAAGGCTAAAAAAGCAGAACTTCCAAAAACAACAATAAAACAATTATCAATGAAGAGAGGTATGGTAGTGTTTGAGTGCTACACTCAATTCTCTGCCTTTTCAGATCCATTTATTTCAACATGGCACTTCACAAACTGTTCACCACTATCTTTATCCATAGCAGAAATTCTGTTAGAATTTTTATTCATTGGCCACAGGTAAAATACATTCAAATATAGTGAAAGAAAGAAAGAAAGAAGGAAGGAAAATTGCATGATCTGATACAAATAAGCTTATCTGCCAGCAAAGGCAAATATTAAGTAAGAATGCAAGCATACAACTTAGTATTCTTAATAAATACATGTTCAAGCATTTAACGTTATCAATGTTTTAAAAGAATTTAAATAATAAATGCAACTTTGTTCTTTTTTTTTTTTTACAGAACTGTATGATTTATTATACACACAAGTACATCTTCCCTTTGTTTACAAAGGCTGGTTACAGATAATGTGGAATGTTACAGTACCCTCTTGCATAAAATTTTTGTACAACATTGTACTTGGAAAAAACTGGTGCAAAACACCTGCCTAATAAATCCAAATGAATTGAAGGTTTTCTTTTTAATTACATCATTAATACACGCACAACAATCTGTACATAAGCCCACTTTTCAGTCACCACTTCAAGTTACTGTAGCAAGTACTGTACTTTTAAAATAGATTCCACTCAGTCAAAGGCTAGTCACCCAGAAGTATTTCAGATGCAAGCTTGAAGTGATATAAGTCACAGAGTTCTGGCTAGTACAGTTTAAAGGTAGTCAACACTACCTGCCAAGTAGAAGTCACATGAGATTTCTGCAGAGGTGTCTCATGTTAGATCAAACATTCTTTTTAACTGATGCTTCTCTCTCTCTCTTTTTGAAAAGTTAAAAAAAAAACACAGCTGCTATTTGGTCAGGACTCTCCATTCTGTACCTTGCATGCTGGTGGGTGCATGAAGTCTTTAAAGGGTACTAAAGCTTCTTTAAGAGCAGAGCAAACTTCCGAAGATGAGCAGGTGATACATTCTACTAACGTTGGATACAAAGCAATAACTTGTGCCCATGTGTTGCCATCAACTGTAATAAAAAGTGAAAATCACATGATTTCCTACTATTCTTATTTATTTATTTATTTATTTATTTATTTATTTATTTATTTATTTATTGGACTTATATACCGCCCCATAGCGCTACAAATACATCTATATGTATCTGTCCCACTCTCTCCCCTGAAACAATTCCCTCACTCAGTTGTAAAAAAAACTTCATGTTGTAATCCAGACTGAAGCTCAGCAGACATTACTTTACTCCCTGTTTTAGCCCAGAATGACTCAGTTTTATTTTACACATTTTGTACACTTTATTTTTGAGTGGGATTTTTTGTTAACTGGATTATGACAGTAATAATTATTATATACGAATATATATTATCTAGCATGATGACAACATCATCCACATTTTCAGTTTGGGTATTACTGTAGAGGTCATTTTTGTGGTGCCTTATGAGTTGTAAGACTTGGGATTTGGTCAGGAGATGAATAATGGAACAGTACAACTTCTGGAGGTGGTTTTTATGGCTTTGGGAGCTTACAGTTGATATAAAAATGGGTCCAGCATCTAATCTCTTTAGGTTCCTCTTGACAAATGGTCTCCTTTAGAAGGAAAGAGCAATCCAGAAATTTGGACTCAGCATCCCCACCTGCAGATGAAGACGCCTAGTCTTTTGTCTGATGTTTTTCTGAATTTGAGACTGAGGGGCCATGAGGGTTAGATTTGTTCTGTATGGAATCTTTTGGAATTGCACTGATGGTTCCCCTAGAAAACTGACACGGAAGCGGAACATTTGTAGCTGTGAGCTGCCATATTTTGTTCAGCCTGCATATATGTGGAAACAAACTCCAATCAGTAAATGCTAAAGTGACCAGTCCTTAAGAGTGGCAGGTGATGGGCCTAAAGCCAAACACTGTGAGGAGACTTTTCCTTTCTTCTTGAAGAAAGAAATCACAGTTCATGCATTTAGTAAGTATGTGCAGGATGGGTAATGGTCACAGCAGCTTATGGTTGAGCTGCCTTTTCCAAGACAGAAATCAGTTTCATCAGATACAGTACTGATGTAAATATTGGGAGCTGCTTACTCAGCACCATGAAAACTGTACAGCCTCTAAGGCTGCAAACAACCTGTAGCTTCCTGCACAGTCACTGAGTACTTCTGCCCTGCTAGCCCCTCAGCAACCATGAAACCAATTCACCATTAGTGGTGAATTACTAACCCTGCATACATTCCCAAATGAGAGCTGAGTACCACTCTCCATCAGTTGCAAGTGAGCTGTGCAAGATGAGCATCTAGTGAACTGTTCCAACTGCTGAGTGGAAGTGCAATCATCTAAGAAGGTGGGTTTTTTTTGGTCTGGATAAAACAAACATGAAAATAACAATATTCATAGTTGATGAATTCACCAACATATTTCAGATTATTTGGGAGAAAACATAATGACATTTCTTAAAATAAAAATATGGCATCTATTAAGGGACCAAAGAAAGACTTGACCAGCAAGAGGAGGTTAAAATGTTAAATACAAAAGAAATAAAAAGCGGGGGGAGAAGGGTAGTGTAACTAGCTTAAGGGATATAAATTGTTGGAGAATAACTGAAATTGCTCCATTTGTTCTGAGGTGACACAGGAATGTTGAAATGGGTTTATAAATTCCCACCTGGCTAACTCATTAAAAAACCTACTCTAAACATAACTGAAACTGTAGTTCGACTCTTCATGCATAGATACTCAAACCCCAGGAGAAGAGCTTCAAGTTACTGTAAGCAACTTGCATAGTTTCAGTCTGACAAGTAATTCATACCTTCTGATCAATATAGTGAAGAATTTCAGAGAAACCCTGAAAAGACACTTTAGCCATCACATATGGCCCAAGAGAGTTATGTTAGAGTACTGGAATGATAAAGCCCATCTGAACATTGGAGTGCTAGGACAGCTATGATATAAATGCTGTATACTTGGAGATGAGACTCTATTTTAAAGAACAGCTGTAAATTCCTTTGGTTACACTAGGGAAGGAGAATATGTGATTAGCACTGTGTTTCTAGAAGATTAATTAAAACTTTAAAATTTGATTGGTCAAAAAGAAAATTAGCTGGAACAACCACTCCTTCAGGGTATAAAATTAGCTGTTTTATTGGATTAAGTGTTCTCTCTCTCCATCTTGTGAGATTTGTGTTTGAGAAGTGTATCTTGTCAAGCCAAAACCTTGCAAGATGAGTAAGTTTTAGGATAAGCTAAGACAGTTTTCTTGCATTTGTGTTCTTCGTATTAATGGTGTTTTACTTAAATTGCTTTATTAATTTACAAATTGTGTTTACTCTTTTCCAGTCTGGTTTATTCTCCCACCCCTCCCCTTCCTTTCCCTTTTTCCTTTCCCCCTTCATCCTTCTTCCTTTCCTTTCCTTTTTCAATATAATATAAAATCACCACCTGTTGTTTTTCTTGGCCTTGGTACAGAATTTAGTTATCCTTAGACTGGGAAATTTGCTATGCTAATATTTCAAACCATTTTGTTTGTTGGGTTGATCCTACCTTGAAGGGCAGGTATTTATCTCATACAGAGTTCCTGGAGCAAGTGGAACAACTCAGGAGAATGGGGATTTTACCATTCGTGAGGCCTCACATGATGGCAGCATACCAGATTCTGGGATCATCCAAAGGACTTCGTGTGAGTCTTTTGACCCTGCCCCCCCCGTGACATATATTATTGCCAGTATCCTGTTGAAACATTTGCAGAAACAGTGGAAATAGTCCAAGAACTTTGTAGTGACTTGCAGGGTGCTTGCCATGTGACTAGTTCTGAAATGTGCATCCCATTGGATATTGGAAACTGTTTCCATTAGCACCATTGTACATGGAGATATTTCAACAGGACACTTGGCTTCTAAAAGCTGAAGTAGAACACAATTATATTTTGCATTTTATAATAATATAATTTATTGTCATTGTAAGTATATACACAGTATACCCATAAAACGAAATTCACAAAATTTTATTAAACATATGTAAGAAATAAAATGTGTGGCGTTGCTATAGGTCAGTTCACACATGAATATACTATATACATATAAAACACCTCTATGTGTTCTACTCACCATTTTCTGGCTGTGTTTTTTTAAGAGAATCTATGAGGGTACTGACAGCTTTTAATACAAATATTATTTCTGTGACTTGTTGCCTGCAAAGAGAAGAGAAAAAGGTTTGAACTTAAGATTCTAGAAATATTTTTTAAAAATATGATCACCTTTAACTATTAAAATGAAAGATGTGAACTACCCTTCTCTTTAAAAATTGTGCAGAAAAGATATGAGGTTTGTTTTGTTTTTTTAAGTAGAGTATTGAGTTGTAGTAAAATACTGAATGTCTTTTACTACAACTCAATACTCTACTTAAAAAACAAAACAAACATCTTTTCTGCATACTTTTTATAGAGAAGGGTAGTTTACATCTTTCATTTTCAGAATAATCAAATGTAGAGTCCAATTAAACTGTTCCAACTAAGCACTGAAATGCAAGACTGGAAATTTTATGTAGTTTTGAGGAGCACTGTAGAGACAATCCAGCTAGAGCAGTGGTTTCCAGCCTTAGGTCTCCAGATGTTTTGGACTACAAATCCCAGATTCCCCAGCCAGCACAGCTAGTAGTGAAGGTTTCTGAGAGTTTTAGTCCAAAAACATCTGGAGACCCAAGGTTGAGCTAGAGAGAGTGCTATCAGGGTGGACGTCTAAACGGAGATACCACCATGCACTGAGGAAAATACTGAAGTTTGCAAAAGTAACAAAATATTTAAGGGGGGGAAACCCCACTAAGGGGACACTGTTCCAAAAGCAGCCCAATGAGTACTGAGCACCCTCAGCAGCCACAGAATGCTGAATGGCTGCCGAGAGAGAAAGAAGACAGGCAGAGGAGGAAGGAATCTTGAAAGTATTCTGGAGGTGGCAGGTAGGCATGAATAAAAGGCACACATTTTCCTCTGCAGAGGAAACTACAGTACATACCGTGGAAGAGGACATTTGCCACTTAGTCTTTCATCTTCTATGTAGCGAAAAAGCACATCTTGTGATCGTTTCAATAAAACAGAAAGTGCCATTCGCGAAATGTAGCCTTCTTGAGGAGTAGTTACTTTATTACTGAACGAAAACTGAAGCAATGTTTCAAAACACATCTTGGAAAACTCCTCTCTCATACGGATATCTATTTCTGCTTCTGTTGAAAAAAATATGTTTTTATCATCTTTATCTAGATAGTATATTTTTAAATGAATGGTTGGAAAGAATAGGTGAACATTGAAGGAAAGAAGATATTACCAAAGGAAAGTGTCTCAGAAACAACAAACAGAAATATACCAACTGGAAAAAATAAGTGCAAATAAAACCAATTTTAATTATACATTTCATTTTACTATTATCCACTATCTGTATACAACAGAAAGCTGTCTTACAAACAAAGAATAGAAAATTACCTAAGCTTAGATGCCTTTAAAATCAATAATGTAAGTTACCTGTAATTAATTCCTGTCATTGTTATTTCACTTAAGTGTGACTAACTGTCTCAACAGGGGGATTCTATCTGGGTTCTATCAACCTCACGAATTAAAGAGGTTTACAGGACAAGGGAACACAGTAGATTTAATCAAAACTATATTAATAATAGCAATAAATTTACTAAAAATGTAAATAACATCATTTACTGTATATAATCAATTCAGAAGAGTAGCAAATATTCACCCCATATCAAATTTGTAACAAGAGGCAAAGAAAGGGCTATATCCCATCTTTCATCTCATTCTTGAGATTTTATCATATAGAAATAGATCAATGGAAATGTCTATTTCTAAATCTTAGTTTTAAATACAAGCATTTATTACACTAAACACAATAGTAAGATTATTTGGACTGCAACTGGGAAAAGTTTTTGAATAACTACATAAACTTTGTGTGAATCACAAATCTGACTTTTCTTTTACTGGGCATGTAGCCCCAAATCCTATTACTGTACATCATTATTTTATTTGGATTTTTGGGCACACACCTGCCTGATGGCTTGGCATGTGCCTAAATATCAAAACAGTCACTCTTAACTGACAGAACAAGGTTGCTGCAAGTTACACTGTCTGCCTTATGCAGAGGTAGATGAGATTTTAGCCTCTGAACGTCAATGCCATAATTATGCATTTGTTGCCCAAGAGATTTAATATCTTCAATACAAGTCAATATAAAAGAGACGCTTCTAAGTATGTCTTAACACTACTTCATCATTTCATGAATATACCTGTAAATGAAGAAGACTGAGAATGTATAGAGCCTTTATTAAGCATAGTCATAATCTGACCAACAAATTCCTTGGGAATAAAATTAGCATATGGCAGTATTTCTGTGCTGATGAGCTGAACCACCTGTAAGAGACAAAATATAAATTTGAAATAGTTCTAAAAACACAGGTCTTGTATACTGCTGCACAAAGTACCCTGGAAGACAAAGCTGGGTGAGACACTACCCTGCTTCATTTAACCAGTTCTCTGTAATACAAGGAGGTCCGCATGCTTATCGAAGAGCAAGTTGTGGATGACTGTTCTTCTCCCATTTATCAACCTAACACTTAGGAGCATTATTTTCAAACTGGGGGCCTGAATTTGGGGATAGCTTGGGAGGAACTAAAAATCTGTTGCCCTCCCCTCTTACACAGCTGCCATGACCCACCATATCTCACTATCTCCTGTAAGATTCTGATGGCTAATCCCTGACTCCCTGAATATTAATTTAGTGAAAATTCGTAAGTACACAAAAGACAGACACATTTGCAGAACGGATGAAATTACTGAATAATCCATATCAGCATGGGTAACTGACTCAAGGCTCACTCAACCTTCCATCCTCCTGAAGTTGATAAACTTGTGGTCAATGTGTAGCCTACATAATTAAATTATAAACCACCCAGAAAGTGTTTTAAGCATCATGGGACAGTATATAAGCAGCACACTTTTACTTTTTGCACCAATAAAAAGTCTTTAAGAATATATTATGTGAATTAAATACACTATTGATATTCTGATTGATTTATAACATTATGAAGTATTTGCTAGCAAATATTTTTCATTGTTTGATATGAAATTTATACTCACTTCAACATCAATGCTTTCATTTCTCTGAAACTCTTGAATAGAAAGATTATCTGGAGGTGAACTGAAAACCAATAGATAACAGCTTTAATATAAAGCATACAAGGCATGGTAGGTGTTGGGAAATTCTAATATTCTAAATTTCAGCATACAATTGGATCTTCCACATGCTATGTTCAATAAAGATTGTAAGTCAGGGACTTTAGGCATTAATGCTTTGGCATAACAGTCTGCCAAAAACATGCAGGTCTATTCAGAACATTAAGGTTACACCTAATGGAAGAAGATTCTTGGGCCAGTTCAGAATATAATCACCAGCTCAACTGGGGTTTGAGCAGAGTTATCTAGTTCATTTCTAAGGGGCATTAGTACAGCATAAATACAGTGGTGCCCCGCTTAACGATTACCACGCTCCACGACAAAATCGCTTAACGATGAGGTTTTTGCGATTGCAAAACAATGTTTAAATAGGGAAAATCTGCTTGACGATGATCGGTTCCCTGCTTTGTGAACCGATTTTTCACTCTACGACGATCAAAAGAGCTGATCGTCGGGTTTTCAAAATGGCCACCCGCTGTTCAAAATGGCTCCCCGCTGGGTTTAGGGCGGATTTTTCACTTTACAGGCACCGGAAAATGGCCGCCTTATGGAGGATCTTTGCTGGACACTGAGGTATTTCACCCATTGGAACGCATTGAGCGGTTTTCAATGCATTTCAATGGGCTTTTTACTTTCACTTGACGACGATTTCGTTCTACAGCGATTTTGCTGGAATGGATTATCGTCGTCAAGTGAGGCACCACTGTAGTAGTAAGAGCTTCAATGGCCATTGTTCTCCTTCAGAGCTCCACCTGTGTGGTGGGACCTGTGTCCCTGACAGTGGCAGATTGTTACTATTCCCTTTTTGATTTGATGATTGCATACAATGAGATGAAATCACGTGCACCCAAAAACTGAAAAAGCAACTCTTTAATCAGCAGGGTTCTGTTACTGCTGAAGACATCAATTCTGCTGCACAGGTGGAATCCTGCAAGAGGATACTGGCCAATGTTGCTCCTTGTTACCAATAAGAAAGATGATGAAGGAAACAGCAAGATGTCTCTGCTGACTCCCCAAACTGTGGTTAGTGTATTCCAGCCATTGAACTCTTTCAAAGTTTGAGACAGAAGTATCTAAAAAATTTTTTATCTTTGTGAGATAAAGAGACATGAACAAAAAAGTGGAAAACATTCCAACTTGTAAGGTCAGATCCATAAATAACAAAACCAACATGTATTTCCTTTTATGTTTCTAGTATTTCAATCCATCCATATTTCCACAGAAACATAAATATGTACTTTACCTTTTAGTAAATAAGAAGTTTTCAAAGGTACTGGCTAACTCTGGCCACATGCTATCAAATTTTCCAGAGGAAGCATGCTGCCTTGCAACTGGAAGCCCAATGGAGAGAACTTTAAGGAGAGAAGAAACAGCCAGCTTCCACGTGCTTTCTGAAGGACAAGCATACTTTAAACTAAGTGGCATCCTCAGTGTCTGCAAAAGGAATTTGGCTAATGTAAATCAAGCAGTAAAGCAAACACATGAGAATATATGCACACCAAATCTTGTAACACAGATTCTTCTTTACAAAAGAAGATTATAATCAGTATCTTGGATTGTATCCAGAACCAGACTGATAACCAGTGAAATTACTGTAACGGCATTATATACTTCCAGCCTTGGTCTGCAGTCTGGATGCAGCATTTTAGGCCAGATGAAGAAGAAACAGGTTTCAAAGGCAGCTCTACATGAAGTGTATTACAGAAATACAGATGAGATGTATTTAAGGCATGTGTCACTATGGCCAGATCACACATCTTTGGGAAGAGTGCAACTGGCACACTAGTTTTAACTATGCAAATATACTCCTGGTTATTTGGGTCTAAATTCAGGACTACTCTTAGACCAGCATAAGATTATTTCCTCCATGCTATTCACCATTTTCATGAAATTACCGAGAATTCATGAAATTTATTTATTTTATTTTTATTTTATTTATTGTATTTATCCCCAGCCTATCTAGTCATTTCGACCACTCTAGGCGGCTTACAACATAAGGATAACAAGTTCTAAAAAATTTATAACAATTAATTAATTAAATGATTCTATAAGATGGGAAAAATAAAAATAAATCAAATAAAGAGAAAAAAAGGAAAGAGGACAGGAATTAACTGGAAGGGAAGGCCTGCCTATACATCCATGTTTTAGACTGGCTGATAATTACTCAAAATGGCAGGATTCTGGCAAGGGTTTTACAGCAGAGGCCTTACTACTGCTTCTTTTAGTGAAGTTAGAACTGTGCCTGGTTGTAGAGAGTTGTTCACCTCTTCCTTCACCCACTCAGCTAGCACTCCCACCAGCCTTTTTAAAATCACCCAGGAAAAACAAGGGTGCAGGACACACGTAGTGCTACACATAGCTAGAGAGTGGGAACTGTACATGGTCAAATCACCAGTGAACTCACTGACTTGCTGCTTGTTCAGCACGCTCAGGATTATGACAGATTTAAAGACCCTTGTGTATCAACACTTTGCACCATCTGCAGAGCACTGTCAGTGTCATTTTTAAGCCGCTTGTTGGGACACTGAAAGAGAACTATGTTGCTTTTATGGCTTGTTTGACTTAGTTACTCTTCTCTCAGGAGGCTGATAACAAACAAATTGGTAAAGACTAAATGGGGCTTAAGTGGCAAACAAGCTGTTTGGCTGTTTGCTATGCATCTCTGCTGAACATGGGCAATGTTTAGACAGATGCGCCATGTTTGCAAACACCCAAAAGACACATATCAAGAATCCACAATCAGTTCCAGCTCCCTGGTGTTTGTCCATCATGTGGCTTTGTGTTGATAGATAATGCATTTATCCCATAAACATAATGGTATTCAAAGGGAGATGTTGCAGCCAGCTTGCCACTATATAATATGTGAACTAATTTTTATGACACTTCTAAAAAAAACCCTTCTGGTTTGTGAGAACAGTGAAGGAGCTTGAGACTTCTAAATTAGTCAGTCACTTAGATTTTACTCCTCTTGGCTGTATTTGCTGCTGTAGACTAATATGGCTATCTCTTTACTGACACAAAATGTAGTAGTAGCATTATGTTGGTTTAACAGGTACATCTCTCCTTTTCTTTGAGGATGGCAGACTCTCATTTTGAGAACTACGGCTAACACAAACAAAGAAGCTCATGTAGAAATCAAATATACTAAAACTATGTGATACACTCTGAAATGCAACACGAAGATTATTAGTATTGGATATCAGCAAAGTAGTGGGGTTCTCTTCACAGGTGAAGAGAGACTAAAATTACATTATCAGATATTTCACAGGAAGATTAGTTCTCAAGCTTCTTCCAGTCTGGAGGGACTTAGAAACCCCGCCACCACCTAGCTATTGTCCTATCTAAATGGGTGGCTGCCAAAAATGTTCTAGAATTTTGCAGAACATAGCTATAGACAACTATTGCAATAATTATTATTGCTAGAAGACACATAAGATCACTCTTGGCTTTCTACAAAGTTCTAAAATCCAATCTTGTATTTGAGACAGAGTACAGTACAATTCATGTTAAGGAATTTAAATCTAAAATGTAAAATGCACAAATATTTACCTTGATAATATTTTGAAGGACTTTCTCATTTACAACAGCTTTGTGACAAGCTGTTTTCTGATACAGGTCCACCACAACTTCAAGTGATCTTTCAGCAAATGGTACATAATTCAGTGCTACCCATTCTGCCTAAAAAAAGTGTGGAATGTCATTGCATGTAGAGAAACAGGATGGATGAAAGAAAATAAAGTTTCTAATGGACCCATTTTGATGGCATGCAAAATCTTTGAAGAACTCCATGAAGAAAAACTTCTGATCAATATAAAGAAACTCCCAGACTCACACATATTATTTACATTTTGAACAGGGGTGGGCAATCAAGGAAAAATTTAAGCAAGTGGAGTGCACTTTATATAGCAAGAACACTAAGCACAATCTTTAATGAATTTTAACTCACCGGTGCAAACAGTTGTATCTATTGTGATTCCATTGTGTTGCATAATAAACAGAATAAGGAAAAATTAATACATATACACATATTGCCTATCAATATTTTGATGACTTATCCTTCTCTTTGAGTATGATTAGTACTGAAAATATATTCAAAGCAAAGCTACTGTATTTGATTCTCATAAAACAGAAGAATGCAGAGACAGCCAAACATGAGATTTTCTAATGCAAATTGAGTGCAAGTTAATGAAGGCAACTTTGTTAGGCTAATATATATTTATTTTTCTGATAATCACAGCAAACATGCTGCTTTTGTTTCTACAATGAAAGTGCTGAAAGCAGGAAGATCACAAAAATGCACCCACCCCCCGTTTTATGAAATTACTGGATAACAAATGTTATTCAAATTCATAGCAAAGACAGTATTTACAGAACCCATGCAAAACTAACCATATTTGGGAGTTAGTGAACTCAAAATAAGAATAATTAAAACATCTCACCTGATTATATTTTGCATTTGCAATGTGCTTAGTTTCGAGCTGTCCATACTGTGGTGGTTTACAGGAAAATTCAACAAATGCTAACAACTGATTAAAGATAGCAGGATACATTATCTGCATGCTTTCTGAACCTACACATATGGCCTATAAAAACCAAAACAAAACAAAACTTTAGAAAATTAAAAAGGAAAACGGGACTTGTTCACTGCAAAACTGTATGATATAAGCATACAAGTGTAACATTCAGGAACCAGTTCCCTTAGTATTTGTGAATTGTATTTTTGACTGTTAAATGTCTCCCTCTGTGTATGTGTATGTGTACATGCATGTGATCACAGACTGAAAGAATAAAGTGTTATAAAAATACTAGTTGCTCTGGGTGTGAAGGATTAAGAAAATGCCAGAAAATTCTTCTAAATGCACATAATCTCTGCTGTTCACTGAACATGGACACAATACCTTTGGTGCAGTGGTTAAACTGCAGTACTGCAATGACAATTTTGCTCAGGACCTGGCTTTGATATTGGGCTCAGGTAGCTGGCTTGAGGGTGACTCAGCCTTTCATCCTTCTAAGGTCAGTAAACAGAGCCCCCAGCTTTCTGGGTGGGGGCAATGTGTAGCCTGCATAATTAATTTGTAAACCGCCCAGAGAAAGCTTTAAGCACTATGGGGTGGCATATAAGCATATAACCCTTTTACTCAAAACAGACATCACATATATCTACTGCATATATGGAGGGCACTTCCACATATTACAAAAAATAAAAAGATAAACTACCATTGAGCTGTTCAAGTATAAAATGACAATAAAAATGCAGATTAATTGCCAGGGTCTGGTTGGTAAATGTTCTGCATTCCCATCAAACAGCAAGAAATTAAAAATAAGATCAGAAGTAAATTTAATGAAATATTGCACTTGAGCTAAATTCTACTCTGGTGAAACAGTCACTTGCTTTTAAAAAAAGTTAATTTGAAAGCATCAATAATTAAAGTGTCATTTCTTTCACAACAAGAATAATAATCTGAAAAGGAGACAATTTGCTACATGTGGGGTCTCTCTACATAATTTTTAACAGAGAGACTCCATAAATAAATACAAATAAATAAATACACTTATGTGATATAAGCTGGGAGCAATCTTGGGACTGTGGTAAATAATGAACACTTTGAGGAGTGCACAGCTGCTGTAAAATGATACTCCTTCCTGCTGATTTGGCCATGACCTTTTCTATGTCAAACTTTCTTGCCGGTTGCTGGCTTTATTTGGGGTTCCAAGTAATTCATCTCTCTCTAAAGAGAACTCTATATCTTGCTTCTGCTTCCTAACGTCTAGGCCAGACTTTCCTAGCATAAGCCCTTCCACATTTTTGGACTGCCATCACTGGTAATGCTGGCTGAGGCTGATGGGAATTGTAGCCCAACATATCTGGAAGGATTCAAGTTGTAAAAAGTTGTGCCCTCTCACATGTAAGGAGTTGTGGGCTCTTCTTGTCAGCAAAGGCATGCCTTGTGATTGGGAGAGGGCATGGACTAAGCTCATGTCCTGCACTGCACAGTGACTTCTGCCCTCTTTAAATGAAGTCTGTGGGATTATCATCTATAGCATTCCATGGCTGGTGAATGGTGGCAAAATTCTTCAAAAATGTGGAAGAGTCTGTCCATTATGTTAGATTTTTTGTTTTAGCAATACTGTGTTGCTCTATAATTCATATTCTTAGCAGCACAGAATCATGCTAGGTATAGCATGAACCATAACTGAGGAAGACCATATACGTATTTTTCGCTCCATAAGACGCACCTTTCCATAAGACACACCAATTTTTTAGAAGAAGAAAACAGGAAAATATAATCTGTTTTCTTCGCTGCATAAGACGCACAGACTTTCCACCTCCGTTTTGTGGGGGAAAAGTGTGTCTTATGGTGCGAAAAATAAGGTACCTTCTTATCTTTTCTGGTCTTTAACAGAACAGTGCTCTGAATGTGTTTTTTTTAAATGAAAGGGACACTTAGATATTGTATTCAATTTTAGTTAATATTTGCTCATCATCATCACACTACAGAGCTGGAAGGGATCCTATGGATCATTGAATGAGGATCCTGGCTACAGATAGTGTTTTAGAATATAATCCCAACTGTTTTAATACGTTGATAATTTAAAACAGAGACTTTTGTTAAAGAGTTTCTAACTGGAAGTACAAGGAGGTAAAGTAAAATCTGAGCAGTGCTGGAGGAACTGGAAAGAAAGGAAATAAATAGCTTTTTAAAGCTGTGTTAAGCAAAGATTTCCCCTCAAGTTAAAATAGGTATTGTTGACAACATTTTGCTATAAATTAAATCCTTCAATATACTATTGAATTATTACAACTGTTTAAAAGAGTTTTCCAAGAGACCAATAAAGGTCCTTCAGATACATTCAATTTAGGAAAGAACAGGTGAGGGAAAATAATTGCCACTGAAAGCTTTTTGATTTTTACTTTGGCCCTATAACAAAGACTTCAAACATGATAGAGATCCAATCCAGCTAAAAATATTCATTAGTAATTCTTACTGAAATCTGTATCTATCCCTAGAAACTGAAAAACTGATATATTGTAAACATGAATAGGATTATCCATTTAAGCTAACTGCATGCTATAAACCAGAACATAAGTAGTACACTTAATTATTAGATTAAAAATTATATCTTAAAGTGTTTGCCTAAACATATGGTGTTTTCCAGCAGTATAACTGTCTACCTTTGCACACACTGTGCTAGCTTCCAATGTAGCTTCCATGCATTCCCACTTTGATACATAAAGCAAGACAGGAATTTGTTGGCATGTGGGGATAAGAGAAGGATTAGTGCCCTCAGAGCTCCCAATATTTTCATAGGGTTGCACTAGAATTGAGTCTGCTCCATTTGTAGGCTTTGCATAATTAGAACTATTCTGGAGGTGGAGTAAAGACAGAAGCAAATCATAAATCAAATGTTGGCAGAGAGGGGAAGGTTGTAGATTTCTAGTTTAAATATGTCCTAGATTGCAGGGGAGGAAGGGGACAATATCCCATGTTAGATGCACTAAGGATAGATGAATGTTAGAAACCTAGACAGTTTCATTCAGTAACTGGCAATGAAAAAAGAAGACCAGTTTCTTTAGAGGGGTTGCACCGTGGTAGGGCAAGTGCTTTATGTCCAAGGTCAATCCTTGGCATCTCTAGGCAGGCTACCCTAAACCTTGGTGAGCTGCTCTTCTCAATCAGTATTGACAATAGCAGGGAGGATATACTACTGGCTGACAATATTAATAAAGGATCAATACAAATCAGCTTTCTGTGCTCCCAAAATAAACCACAGTATTAAAATCTGACTGACACTATTGCCACTAATTTCATGCTATTTGTAGTAAACAAATTTTAAAAAGTCAATGGTGATTTAAAAAGAAATATTCTCAGCATGTATGGCTTTCTGCTTTGAACTCACTTGAACGGTGAATACAAGAATAAAATGGGTTAATATTAGCTGTCCTGGTTTTGTTTTCAGAAATGATTACAAAACACCTAAGTAAAAATAATAAAGTGAGCATTTGTTACACCCAGCTGGCTGTCAACCACAGTATGTTTTAAAGTGTACGCATCCCCCCTCCACAAAAGGCAGAGTTCCCATACCAGCCACTTATTGACGTTTGATCTTTTTGTCATGGCTGGGACACTGCTAGATCTGTAGGTGCCATTTGGGCCTTTCCCCTGAGCTACAGTATTTGGGATGTTAGCTCATGATCTAGCCCTGGCTGAACCAGTGGCAATGATACCTTCCACTAGCTTCAATGGAACTTGAATCAACATTCTGACGCCTGAAAAAGAAGCAGACTTGGAACATGTTCTTTTTCAATGAGCAAAACTACCTCACAACATTATTTTCACATGTAAGTACATCTACTGATATTTTAGAAATGTCCGTGTACAAATGGCAATAAGAAGGTGAAGTTGACTGACTACCTTTCAGAAAGTATTTGAAATGATATTATTACCTTTTGTAGGACATCTAAAGCTGTGAGGACTGCTTCTTGCAAACTTGTTAGAACTGCCTCTGTGTATGAAGGCAGGATGAAAGGGGATGCATCCGAACTGATTGGAACAGAGACTGCACCATGGAGAATGACACCCAGTTTCTGGAGATCATCCATACTGAAACCAGTTTTGATGTGCTGATACAAGGCTGGAAATATCTGTATTAAAGCTGTAAGAAAAGGCTGGCTGGGAATAAAAGTCATTTTATCACAAGAAACAGGAGGCTTCGTACTTTCTGAACCAATCCTAAACCAGGTGTTCCAGGCAGCCCACCAAAGATTCAAGTCTTCTATTTCATCTGTTATTACAGGAGGCTCAGTTATATTATATCTTCCAATCTTTTCTCCTACAGAATCACTTCTCATAAAAGATCTTCCAAAGCTAGTGGTAGTCACTGATCCAATGAGGACAGGTACAGGCACATTAATAGCAGGTGGGGTATCAGGTTTTTCTGTTTCTCTAACAGGAGATACGATTTGCAAGATTTCCTGAAAGCTTTTCAAAGCAGCCAGTGAAACTTCATTGTTTTTGCTGAGCGCAGCTGACTGAATGTGATCAAGGAGAACGTCCCAAGCTTGAGAAAAATCTCCTGTCAGGGGAAAAAGGAAAGATATGTAGAGAGCAGTTTCATTATTGTGCCACATGTGTTCTTCCCATTTAAACAGGCTTGAAGGAAGTGGAATGTTAAAAAGACACATAAAACATTTTCTCAGCAGCACTAGTAAGAAAATAGACCTACTACATAAAACAAAACACATATTTTAAACGCAATGCATGCTGCTTGCCAAAGACCATTTCTTAACAGGATATACATGGCATGAAAATTTCACAAGATTTAGCAGGAAGAAGATTCTTAATGTATGGAAAAAATTAAAATTCTTAAAATACAGTCACTATGACAACTACATGTTACATACTTAAATGTTTTTTATCAGATACCTCACTACCTTTTAAAAGATTCAGTATGTAACATAAAACTGTAGAACCACATTTTGTCAGTGAACAGTCTAAACATGAGGAGAATCCATTGTACCTAAGGATTGCAAGAGGTATCTTCTTGTGTTGAATATTCTAGCTACTCCAGCTAGTGTTAACACCCATGTCTCAGCCCACTGTTTCTCTGCTGTATCTCTTGAATGGTGAATGAGGATATTACCACCACCAGACTCAATCTTCTCTTTATCAGCAGTTGTAGAAGACTCTCGCACTCGATCCAGCAAATGAAATAGAACCTATAATTTAAAACCATTTCAGAACTTGAAATTCTAACCATGCCTTGTAATTTTACACAACTTAATTTTGAAGAATTAAAACATCAGCAAGTATTTTTCCAATGAAGAATTTGGAAGACTGTAGTTTACTTACATCACTGCCCTTAACATTTATCATTTATACACAGCAATATGTGGCAACAATGCAAATCTGCTTTACAAACCAGCTGGAAAGTGAGGGGAAAGTTAAGAAATTCCCTTTTTACAATTTCAGGATGTGTATAGCTTGCTCATAATGCAACGAAGGTGGATGGACTCTGAAATTGCAGAAGAAAGTCTGCAATTTAATAAGCTGCAATCTGCCATTGCTGATAACATCACTCCCATTACACAAACAACCCATGGCCAACAGGGCTTTGGCCAATATGCAGATTTAAAAAATAATTTGATGCATAATATCTTGGTCTCATTTAACAAATTTTCCACAGTGTGCACAATAAATTGATCACTCATTTGAAGAACAACTTTGGATTATAAAATAGCTTAATAGTTTGTTCTGTTTAAGAGTTCATGAATTACTGTAACATTTCTAAAGTGGTTCTCATACTTCTCTGTGTGTAAGTTACATAAAACATCTTCATACTGTGATTCAGTTTTCCCATGAAATGCCCTAATACTGTACAAAGTGTAAAGAGGCCCTCTGTGAGCTGAAGCATACCTTTGAATCTAACCTACTGTACCTGACTGCAGTCTATCAATAGCGTTGTTATGTTTTTCAGTGCATATTTTAAACCACCCAGAGAGTGGAGTCATATAGAAATGGAAAAAATACATACATAAATAAACAAAATTTAAACTGATAATATACTGATGAGGAGAGAACAGTCCATGTGGCTTGAGCTTTCTTTACAATTTCCTGTGCAGAAACTACCACTTCCATCACTACACAGTTTTAAAGAAAGTTGCCTTTTCAGCAATTTCATCCATGCCCTGTAAGCCTCTGAAAAAGCACTGACTTTTAATATGTGACTTTTTGCACATATTTCTTTTGCTGACAGTCTCACAACTATCTTTAAAAAATCATTCTAAGAATACTATATCGTAACTTACAATACAAATCAGCCTAGTTTGCTTAAAAATCTGGACCAAGCAAAATTCTTATCTACTCCTTTATTGAACAAGAATAAAGCATGGCTGCAGTGTCATTAGAGGAAGTGGGATTACAGATTTAGTACCTTCCAGATAACCGTATGCCATGTTGAGTGTTGAAGTAACGTTCCATGAGCACCAATTGTAGAAAACAAGGTCTGTCCAGCACTTTTCCTAACTGCAGGCCGTGGGTCTACACAGAGCTCCCCAAGCTTGGCATACAAACAGAGCCAGAGGCAGTCAAATGGTGGTGCTGGATGGAAGGGACGATTCAATATTATTCCCTTTTCTTCTGCCTGCTTCTGTAGCACTGCTTCCTCTTTGTTCAACTCCTTTTCAATAATGTCGCCTCTTTGGAAGAAATAATCTGAAATATTCCACTACAACACAAAGAACACTTCCTTGTAAATGATTATAGGTCACACTAAACGGGGTGACAATCATCCTATTGATCAAACCATTGTGAAAATTATGCCAGGCTCTATCTTAATACTCCTCTTGCAAAGCTTAATTATAATATTTATATGAAGAAAGCCTTTAGCAGTACTGTTATACAACCAAGATGAGTTCCCCTCCTTTTTTTGTGTTACATAGTTTCTCAGTAAATTGAAATTAATGAATACTCTAAAACACTGTTTTCACAGATACATTCTCGAAATTCTTCGATTTATTAAAGATTGCTTAGACTTTTCTACACTCTTCTCTGCCTGTATGTTTTCAAACAGCAAGAAATCCAATTTATGAGTACCATGGAACACAAACTGATTTAGATTATTTTCTTGAGCAAGTGAACAATTGTTTAAAATACAAAAAAACCCTATTAGAAATAGATTAGACTACAGATTGGATTTAGGTGCGTAACTTACATAGCTAATTAAGTAAATACAATATCTTCTACATATACATGGTTATTCTCCTGATTATATACACTGGCAGATCTTATAATTTATATTAATTTATCTAGGAGAGGATTATAAACACCTGCACTTTAATATTTTCAGTTTAGGAGAGACTGTCTGAAGTATGCCTAAACCACTGGCTGAAATCATGTTGGGTAATGTAAGCAAAGTCCATTTTGGTCCATTTCTTGCTAGTAAATAAAGAGCTCCTGCTGTGATTCTAGGGTATATGCATATGCACTAAACAAGACTTGTAGCTTTACTTATGTTATACAACAGGATTTTGGCCAGTAAGAAATAAAACTTCCTTGATAATTGTATCCAGTGTCTTCAAAAATTTCAGCCTCCACCAAAGATGTTGGCATTAGCTTACATTGAATCTTCTTTTATTCTGTAAGGCAAAATACAATAAAGGAGCCGTTTTATTTTTTCCTACCCAAAACACATAGTGCTCCAAAGATTCCAATTTGATGCAGTCCAATACATGTTTACTGAGAAAGAAGATTCATTCTATGTAGTTCAGTGGGACTTACTCATAAGTAACCAAGTATAACATGCTTGGTATAACATCAGCCCAAGATTTCTTGTAAAGAACTTCAAACTTTAGAAAGTTAAGGTATAATGGGGAATATACCAATCACTCACCAAGAGACCAATAGATGTTAAGCTAATGTTTAGTTCTTGATTGTGAAGGCCAAAACTTCCAGCAACATCTACAACTATCTGTAGGCAAGTACATGGCATCGTTGGCAAAAAGTCAGTCACAACCAACTGTAGGCACTGGAATGCAGTCCGTATAAGAGATTCTCTATTAACAAAATCAAAATGTCTTATTTCTAATTTTATCAAGAGATTATGAATGATCACAGTATCAGTCAAGTAAGTACATGCTACCTCTGTATCTGACAAACTCTTTATGTTGAGAGCTGCTTACTATACAGAATTGCCAGTTTTGACAATGCTCCTGGAAGCCCGCCCCCCCCCACACCTCATAAGCTGTATGACGAAGTGGCAGATTTGGATAAAGAGTAGCTAGAAAAGGATGATTCGTACACAGCATTTTCCCATGTTGTCTGGACTTAATTTGGCTTTATCTACTTCTTGTATATATGAAATAGAAAAATGAGAAAAAAACCACTATGTACTGACTGCACTTAAGCGCAATATTGGAGAATATTAGGTGAAATATCATATGATCTATGAAAACCTAGGCAGTCTTTCTTTTTGACAAAGCAGGTGGTGAGGAGGAAGCTTAGGACAGCTGTTCTTAAAATTACGTGCCACGGCAACCTTCTTCAACATGGTACTCACCAGATGTACAGTACATGATTATGATCCTCATAATTTGCAGTTTACATGTTAAGGGAATATACTGGCTGGAAATTGTGGAAGCTGTAGTGCAACACGTCTACAGGGCAGTAGGTTCTGTGAGTCTATGCTAGTCACAAATATGTATGTTATCTGGAAATCCCCCCCCCATTTTTATTTAATAATTCACAAGATTAATTTACAATTATTATTATTCAGAACTTTATGACAAAGAATTACAAAGGCTAGAAATGAAATCTAAAAATTCTTACTAAGAATAGTAAATGTATGCATTCAAACTAGGAACCTCACCCTTGATCACTTCTAATTGCTCCCATAACTCCAAGTACCAAGGGCCATCCAGATCCTAGACTGTCACCCTGACTCTGTAAAATCTGTAACACACATTCCAGCTGCTTGAGCCTAATATCAGGGTGATTGATGTTTGAAAGCTCTTTCAGTGGGTTTAGCAGAAGTAACTGAAGCCTCTGAAAAGAAATTGCAGAAGTAAAACATCTCAGTTCAAATGAGATCCTGTACAAAGGTCACAAACTTGCTCGGTTAGCAGGGACTTATTGAACAATATCAGCTACTGTGAATGGTCTGAAAGTGTAACACAGAAATATCAGCGCTTCTAAACAACAGATTGGCAACTGATCACAAGAAAAAAGACATCCCAGCGAGCACTCCTGGACAGGTAGCCAACTGGATATTTTGGTTTGTTTGTTTATATATATACCACCCATCTGGCAGCCAAGGCCATGGTTTAGAGTACCATGGAAGACACAAGGAGTAAAGAAGTAAGCTACTCTCATAATTGGCTGCTAGACTGCCCTCTAGCAAATCTTGTAACTCAGCAGTCATTTAACATTTATGTTGAAAAGTATCTGCAAAGGTGTGTTTATTTACAAGGGACAACTGATCAAATAGCTATAGCAATGAACTGAGTGTACATTACCACAAACTCTCCTGGAGACCAGTTGCATACATAATTTTAAAAGACAGCCACACATGTGGATTAATTCTCAAAATTGCTAAATAACCAGCAGACCACACCTTCCCAAGACACATTGTTTCAATACAATCATCTGGCAAACATTAACTACTAAGGATGTGATGACATCCCAATCTGTTGCCTATACAGAGCCTGTCTGTTATCAGGTAGTGGTCAGAATCCTACTGATGTTCACACAAGTTTTGCATAACTTGTTGCACTGAATTGATGGTGCTTGGGGTGTCCTTGTTCCAGGTTTGGTCACATGCTGGACTGCACAACTCAGATGTAACCCAATATATATTAATTAGTTTCAGTTAGCATGGCAGGTTACACAGTTCTTAAGTGAATGCCAAGAGGATTCCAGGCAATATTTTAATAGTAAATTTGTGCAGCAATATTTTATATATGTCTTGGAACTTAATTCTGAGTAGCCATGTATATGATTGCATTGTTATTTAGGCATATTGTACAAAAATATCCATCAGCTACATAATATAGGTTATTCTAGCAACATAAATCTTTTAGCTGTTTATTCACTCTTTACTCATCTATGATCTGTGAAACATGACCTCTGCTGATTTTACTGACAATCAGAACTAATTATGCTACTGATTTCCAAGGATCATTCTTTCACAAAATAACCTTTGTTTTTCAAACTGATACTTCACCTGGTTTTGAGAGAGTGGAGGATCATGGTTAAATGTCAAGCCAGCTTTAATGAGAGAGGTTAAAGCCTCTGCTCCCCATTCTCTCATCCGTGAATTTGGATGTTGGCAGACCTAAACATAAAAAATAGCTTTTTTCAAACCAGATTGCACAGTAATAAAGTGCAAGCATTAGGAATGAGCATTGAAGCCTAGCATGCCTTCTCTAAAAACAGCAGCCATGAGTCAAGATGGTGCCTATATGTAGCATCTCCTGTGTTATATTAAGAGTAATTTCCCTGGTATTTTCAGCATGCAAACTGTTCTGTATTTCTTATATTCAGAGAACAATGGATATACATTATTGAGACACTTAAGACAAATTAGAACATTACGTGCATATATTTTGGGAATGACGGCTGAAATTCTAATGCTTAGAGTAAGAACATTCTTAACTTTCAGTCCATTCCCAACCAGTGAATTAAAAGTGTTTGCAACAACTTTTGGGGGTCCGTGCATATATACACTAAGTTGAAAATGTGGTCCTTATGCCAGTGTATGTGTCTCTCCTGCCTGAGAATCGCACTGGGAACCTTTTATTTCCAGGCTCGTAATGGAGTGAAAGTCACTAATGTGCTGACACTAAGCAACAGGATTTCAGTGATTAGCTGTAGTTATTTTATATCTTAATACAGTCTCTACTCCATTTCACTTATACATCAGATTCCAGATTTATCAACTGTGCTAGACATACTACAAAATACTCATACTGCAGATATCATTTTTCACGTGGTCTAGTGCTCTCAAACAGCCAAATGAGAAGATTTACATATTACCCAAGTAGTAAGTAAGGAAGACAAACTCGAAGAACAAACTTACCTTCTGAATAAAAAAAAGAGAGGAAGCAATAGGGAAGAAGGAAGAAATAAAAATATGAAAACCAAGACAGTTCAAGCAATATGCATTACTGTTACATTACTGAACTTTACACCATTGGCAGTTTTTCTGCACAAATATATGTCTGAGGAGCCAGTGAGATGTAATGATTAGATTGTCATTTATAGGACTCTGGAGACTCAGATTCAAATTACCACTCAGTTATGAAATTTACTGGATGAATCCAGCTGAGTGACAGGCTTGCTAAATCTTTAAAGCTATATCATTTTCAAAATGTGTACAGTATTAGTCCTAAGCTCTGTAAAGAAATTCTTCTGTTCAACTCTTTGGAAGAAGATGTTAAAAAGACATACTGTAGAAGTTTTGCAAAATTTATAAACTCCTTTATCCTCTTACCATATTTCTCCCATCACATATTTGTACACTTCCAAAAGTTAATATGCAGAGGGTAAAATCCTATACCCAAAATCTACTCTCTTATTATGTTTCAAAACACAGGGATCACTGTGATAAAAAATAAACTTTATAAAGAAAAATCTACAAAAGGGAGTGGTTGATTCTATAGAACTTAAATCCAACAATATATTCTCCAGCTGGCTGGATAGCAATGGTTTATCTGGCCGTGGAGCTAGAGGTTGGGAGTTTGATTCCCTACTGTGTCTCCAGAGAAAAGAGCCAGCCTGTGTAGTCGTAGGCAAGTTGCACAGTCCCAGGATGCTCCAAAGGAAAGGAATGGTAAACCATTCTATGTATTCTCTACCTAGAAAACTCTGGAAAGGTTTCCCAGAAGTCGGAATCAACTTGACGACACACAGTACAGTTCAGTATTTTCCAGAATATTTTATCTGCAGTTAATACAGTGGACCCTTGACTTACAGATGGCTTGACTTACAGACTTTTTGAGTTACAGACTTCTCTGGCTGCAAAATTTAGGTTTGACTTGCAGCCTGAGAATTGACTTACAGACCAGAAAAAAACCAAAATGGAACAAAAACGGCCTGTTACGGGATTAATCGGTTTTCACTGCACTGTAGGTCAATGGAGACTTGACCTACAGACTTTTTGACTTGAGAACCGCCTTCCAATACGGATTAAGTTCTTAAGTCAAGACCCCACTGTATAGGGAACCTAAGATTCTGCAGGCATCAATTTTCCTCTTCAAATGCAAGTAATATATGCTGTACTATGTCCTTCCAAACAGAAGCCATGTTTTTCTGTTTTATACACATACTGTATTTATTACTACAAGTTTGCCTGTATCTGGATTTTTAAAAACACATTAATTAGGGATGCTTATACATTTTCCTGTTAAAATATTAATGCAGCCATGATGGTCTGGATGAGGGCAAATAACCTCTATGTATTGTAAGAGGATATACATGAGATTTATGTACAAAAGTCTACAAAGATCTGTGTAGGGGCAGTAGGGGTATTTAGAGAGGTCTGCGCCAAATACATAACAGGAAATGAAACAGGAAGAAGCTTATTAAGATTAGTGATTTGACTCCTTGTTTTCATGCCTTGCATGTGTAGTTCTGCTATAATAAAATATTTGCATGCATTGTCCCATTACTTATTTGGAATTTCTCCTGACTGGATGTAAAATGGAACAATATTTGGGGGTTAGACAGTTGCCCAAGATTTCAGGGCCTTCTAGGCACAATTCAAGGTCCCTTTTGTAGTTATGGTTTAAGATACTGTGCTCTAAAAACAGAAGTGTAGGCATATAGACCTTATAAATAAACCTCAGTGATAGACAGTGGGATGCATACAATTCTACAGGAAATCTTACAGACTTCTTCGAAAACTGGCGGAGATGACCTTTATCATTTATATCTGTATATGCAATTGAGTAATTGTATGCATCATATTCAATGTGTTTTACCATCTACCCTATGTTTTCTTTTGATCTCCATTAAAAATCCAACATATACTTTGCTTTGTATTAAATTATGCAGAGCAGATGTAGATGCCCATGTAGAAGCCCATCTAAACTTAATAAGGAACAAAAAAAAATCTAAAAACAGGAACATAAAAAAGATTAAAGTAAAAAAAGCAATGTAATGCATTTTGCTTCCACATACCCTAATGTTTTCATAACATTAAGAAAATACTTGAGATTTTTGAATACAAAAGCCAATACTGTTTACTTAAAGATTGGTTACCTCCAAGAGATGGCCTGTCAGTGGTCTCCACAAAATTTCAATCCTATGCATGTTAACTAGTCCAGTTTCCAGCAATTTAGCAACAGCAAACAGGGATGGCTCCTAAGCACAAGTATATATATTTTTAAAAAGTCAGTTATATTAATTAAATAGGTAGATAGCTAGATAGATAGATAAGAGTCATTTAATAATTTTTGTCTTCTGACATTCATTGTTAAACCTCCTTTTGCACTTTTTTTCTTTCATTTTCATCAAAAGTCACTTTTTTAGCCAGTAATATGGTATGATCTGTATTTGTTGAATTTGATGCTTCTTCTTTCAATTTCCGCTTTTCTTCATCTGAATCTAATACATCCATCTTTACTATTGGACAGATGCATCTTAATCTTTTCTCTCAGCTTCAACCATTCTACCCTGGGTAACTCTGCTAAGAGTCTAATCTTGGAACAGAGTATAGTCTCTTTGAAGGTGTTACTCTCAACTCCCCTGATTCTCTCAATCTTTCACCACATCAAGAAGTGTATTGGGGAGAGCAACTGAAGTAAACTCACTGAAGTCAATGAAATTTATAGTACTTAATGACTAACAACAATCCACTATTTATTTCAGTGGGTCTACTCTGGTAAACACTGACATTAGATTTGGTTTAATAAACTGAAAATTCTGTATCCACTGGCATATTTTAAATTTACTTCTTTGTCCAGATAATCATATCTCAGTGTACTATAATAAAAACATGCAGTAGATTTTTGCCTGTTAAAGCAGCTGTTTCATTCCTCCCTTCAAACTGTGATTTTAGACCCTGTCTACTTCCAAAGCTTATTCTAATTGTAGTTTCCCTACTAAAACAAAATAAGAAACTCCAATTAATTAAGCATTTAAGTAAGCCAAGGACGAAAGAGTGAGGATATTGTGTGCATGAGCAAATATGCATCTGAAGATTTTCTGAATGTAGGCAAGAGTCAAAAACTTAATAATTTAGAAGCACACTTCAGTATTAAGGAAATGTTCAAAAATAGTAGTAGTAGGAGGAGGAGGAGGCAGATTTTCCTGTTTAAATAAATAAAAGGTTAACTGCCTGATCCCAGGAGCTGAATTCAGTGTTACCTGAAAATACGCATACATGTGACTACTGCCGTAAAATTATATTCTTTTGCTTAAGTGTAAATGTAAGGTTTTCTACATTCCCCCATATAAATTTCCAATACAGAAAAAAAATATTAAAACTTCCTAATATTATACCTTTGTAATAATTAAATAATCACTGTCAAGTTAAAAATGCTTATAGTAATGACATTTTCTTAATGGTTAGTTTGTATGCCAATACATTCAGAAGTTATTTTACTGATTTTTATATATTATTTTTTGACTTTAAACGTAAGCATTTGCAGTATTTTTTTTCTTTCGTGGCGCAGTGGTTAAACTGCTGTACTGCAGCCAAAACTGGGCTCACGACCTGGGGTTCAATCCCAGGTAGCGGCTCAAGGCTGACTCAGCCTTCTTTCCTTCCGAGGTCGGTAAAATGAGTACCCAGCTTGCTGGGGGGGGGGGAATGTGTAGCCTGCATAATTAACTTGTAAACCGCCCAGAGAGTGCTTGAAGCACTATGGGGCGGTATATAAGCAGCACACTTTGCTTTGCTTTATCATGCTTTAATGATACCCAACTCTACTGATAACAAGTCAATGATTTATTCTAATTTTTGACATGAAAAATCCTGAAGAGAGTAAAAACCAAAGATAGGATTTTCACAGGTAATTTATATCTGAAAAACAGAATGAAATACTCCATACCTTATTATTTCCATAGGCCATATCCATAGCTTCCAGAGATAAGGAACAAAGTGCATTTATTAAGTGATGCAATGAAACGTCATCAAGGTACCTGGCAGGGATGGGGCACAGGGGGAAAAGGAGAAATGAATTATTCAAACTACTGCCAAAATAGATTAGAAGCCAAGATTTGGATGAGAAAGTAATTTCCTCTTACTGTGAGCTTTCAAAAAGTCTGGAAAGTATGTTGGAGATAACCGGCAAATCACTCATAACAGCTGTTGTCAGAACCTAAAGGAGACATTTAAGTTGTATTCTGTAAGTAGATGCCCTACATAAACATAATATGTGATCATTCTATAATACAGTAATCAAAATTCTTACTGTACTAGGTCCTTCTACAGGTCTTCCAGGCTTTAGAGCACCTCCAACGCTTGGTTTTAAACCAAGAATCCACACAAGATGCTGAAATGCAAAAACACATTCTAAATATGGAAACCTCTTTGTGTATTCGTTTATATGTATAATTATTTTTGTGTTTAGCAAGTCCTTTAAATTTGCAGTTTTGTAGCAAGTATGACAACAGCATCTATTTTAATTTCAAGAGTTGTACATAAATTATGAAAAAAATCACTGATGATTTCATATAATTTTCTATATTACATGGAAGTCTTTTAGCTCTAAGGTACGTGATTACATCCATGGTCCTTGCAATCTGTACTTTCAATGCTAAATTGGCATCTTTTAAACTAAAGACTGAGAAACACACTTGGTTGAGACATTGCAAAACACTGAAAGTGACATATTGGCTGTAGTCAGATGTCACAAGAAGCCAGGGAACCGAGAGAACTTTGGTTTATCAGTTATCAGTTACGAACAGTACTGGTACATGTTGCTCCATCACTCCTTGGGGTTTGTTTATTATGCCATCCAAATATAAGTGCTTTAATGATACCCAAGTGCTTTTTATTCTCTCTCTAAACCAGCTGACTCAGAAGCTTGGGTCCCCAGATTCTTGGACTAAAATTCCCAGAAGTCTTCACCTGACCAGGATTTCTGTATAGTCCAAGAACATCTGGGGACACAGGTTTGGGGAAGCCCTGATCTAAACAAACCATAGAAAGGAACTTGTTTTCCATTTAAAAAAGCATAGAAAAAGAATCCATGTCTTGTTTCTCTTGATTGTTGGGAGAGAAAAAAGCACTTGTGTTCAGATAACATGAAGAACACGCTAAGAAGATCACTATGGACTGACACAGTGTTCATTAGCACAATGCTCATATTTAACAAGCTATGGTTCCCATGGGATCTTTGGTTTGCTGTGCAATCCAAAGCTTTACACATCTACCCTTAGAAAAAAAAAATAAAACAGAGTCAATGAAAGAAAAAGCAAAATCCCCCTATTACTTACTTGGAGAGTAGCCAAGACAAGTTGCCATGATGTACCAAGAACACCTCCATGGCAATGAGCCAAGCTAAGCAATGTTCTCATGCACTGTATATTCTTAGAAGTAAGCTAGGAGAACATTTTAAAACAGTAATTAGTTTGCAGTACGAAGAGTTATACTTTAAAACATTTTGACCTTTAGCAATGTTAATAATAATTACAATGGCCAGAGTCCTATTATTGATGCTCGCTGGTGCATCTAAAATAGAATAAACTGCTGCGGCAAATTGCCATTAGTAAAGAAGTCGGTGTTGGTATTTCTTGTCACATGCTGTACCATGCAAATAGTGTGCAAGAAGGAATATAAACCTCAACTTAACTAATTTGCCTCAATATATGCCATCTGACTTCTGCCAGCAACAGCAAATAATAGGGTTCTGGTCAATGGCAGAAAAAAGCCCTGTAATACATACTTTAGTATACTTCAAATAAAAATGTGGGAGAAAAGGCATCCCCAAGATACACACACACAATATGAAAAAATAGGGCTATTTTAAGTTTGTGGAAGAAAGAGATGTACAGTGGTGCCTCACTTAATGGCGACAATCCGTTCCAGGAAAATCGCCGTTAAGCGGAAACATCGTAAAGCGGAAATTTTTTTTTTTGAAATGCATCGAAACCCCTTCAGTGCGTTCCAATGGGATCAAAACTCACAGTCCAGCGAAGATCCTACATAGGGCAGCCATTTTTGCTGCCCAAGCGAAGTTCCTACATATGGCAGCCATTTTTGCTGCCTGTCTTGCGAGGAATCTGTCCCAGAAAACAGCGGGGAGCCATTTTGTTTACCCAGCGGCCATTTTGAAACCGCCGATCAGCTGTTTTAAAATCGTTGTTTTGCGAAGAATCGGTTCCCGAAGCAGGGAACCAATCATCACAAAGCGAAAAAACCCATTTAGATCACCGTAATGCGGTTTCATCGTAATGCGGGGCAATCGTAAAGCAAGGCACGACTGTACACAAGTGAAAGTATAGCCTTTTTTTGGATAAATAACCTCATACTATATGATAACAGAATATTTTACAAGTTTTAAAATTTATGTGGCAAGCAACCATGATTCTGTGAGATAGTACTAGGTTTTGTTCTTATGCATAAGGAGAAAAGCTTGTATTGGTAGTTGCTTCTTTCTTGACGAGACAGTAAATCCACTGCTTTGAAAAACGAATACCCAGACAGCCATTCCTCAATATGCCCCACTGAATTCAGTAGATATGGCAAATTTTAAAATAAATAAATAAATTAAAAAAATATGCCCCACTGAATTCAGTAGATATGGAACTTCTGCTTTTGTAAATTTTGTGTTATTCAATTTATAAAGAGGAAATAACATTTATATTGCACTTTTTCTGAGGTGCTGTTAATATGACTTTTAGCGTAAGATTAAAATATAGTTTCATCTGCACACAAGATACTAAACAAACTTTGTTCACCTCAGTGGAATTATGTCTAGAAATCAAAAACGTTTTCACAATTAAGAAATCATGTTTATATTTCCAACTAGCAAATTAAAACACATATAGTCTTATTTTAATACCTACAAACACACTGTGTATCTATCAGAAAGGCTCTTTTTATTATTATATTTGCCATGTCTCATTAACAGTAAAACTATCTTCAAAGATTTTGGGGCAAAGAAATAAACCTCATCAATTTAGTTTAAAAAATAACAGCAATGTTATATGATATAACTAAAATTTAAGGACAACAAGGATCCCACTTCCTGTCTTACTAATACTCAGATCACAACATTCATAGTAACAAATGTAATGACAGCAGATTTATAGTAAATTTTCAAACTTAGACTATAAAGTATTGTGTTATGATATGAAGTTATTCATCAGAAAGAAGCCCAAAAGAAAGCTCATACAATGAAGAATCATGACTATTACTGCAGTATGCAATATATTACTTCAAAATAACTTTCTATTTCACCAGCAAAACTGCTATTACAAACAATGAAATCTCATGATCCATATCAGCATAAGGCAAAACAGAAACAGTGATCCTCTCTCACAGAGTGCTTCTTTCTGATAACCTTAAAAGGAAACACCACTACAAGGCTCCTAATTCAGTGCTGTGTTGATAAGACAATATGAGTTTTATGGAAGACCTTCCTGTTTTCCTGCAGACAATAATCAGTCAGAACAACAAGGTAACTCAACAATGAAAGCCCTAGACTGTCACTCTGGCTGCCAATTACTCATTCAAAATGTCTGCTAGGACGACACTTTAAAATCTGAGTATGCAGAAGGAACACCCATTCTTTGCCTTTCATAGGTACCCAACTCGCTTGGAAGAGTTAAATTATATTAATTAAACTATAAATTGTTCAGAGAGATGTCTGAGTCAGTATACAAGCAGCACACATTGCTTCCCCCCCTTTGTTTTTCATGTTTTTGAACTCCAACCAATTCTCCAGAACTCCCTTGGCAAAATTTTGGGAGTTCTAGCTCATAAGCAAAAATCCACAGACTCTCAAGATTTCATCCACATACATAATGGCTTACTTTCAACATTGCATCAGCTTCTCTTGGTCTTTGCTCCCTGTTATTAATTTTAAAAATAACCCTTTTATAAAGCCTAATGGGTGGTAAGACTACAATTCCCAGAATTCTCTGCACCCAGGTCAACCACTCCCAGGGTCATGTGACAGACCAGTAGGGGCCAGCCCCTTCGAACAGAAGCTTTTATAGCAACTAATAATGATAATGACTGCAGGAAATTGGGAACAAAAGAAATACTATATAAACTATTTACAACTAGCCTTAATAAGGAATGAGGCTGTTTTCCATTTTGTCAGTGCTAGCTATGGATTTATAGTATTAGACATTATTTAATTTTGAAAATACTAATCAGATCTAGGAAAAGTAACAGCAAAATAGAAAAAGGATATTTACAAATTTTATTTTACCATTACTGTTCCCTGTGGTTGGAGAGCTAGTGGTTGTCCCACTGCTACAACTTGTTGATGAGACTCACTTGAGGGACTGATCATCTGAATATTCTGCCCCTGGATGGAATATGCTAGAAAAAAAAGAGTCCTTATATTCCAACATGAATAAATAGCATATAAAATTGCACATAGAGAAGCTTTCATTTGTAGCTACTACTTATGTAGATAACTGACACGGAGCTATGGCCAGTTTTTGTAATATCAAACTGGATATCATGAGGAGCACCATGAGGTAGCCCACAATCCTTCATTTATGCTGCAACAGGACACTGATAATCAGAAATTAAAAACGATGGCAAGAGTCCAATTAAAAACTTACTTGGTTTAAGTCCAAGAGTGCACATTTCGGCAGCAAATTTTATCCAATTAAACGTTGCCATTAGCATTTCTCTCTGCATACCATGACTAGTGTGCAAAGTGAAATACAACTCCAATTTCATAACTATCAGCAATTCACTACTGATATTTATGCTGCTGGGTTTATGCTAGCAGTTGTAAGTAACAGGATTCTGGCATTTATTTATTCATTCACATCAGAATCCAAAAGGTATTTTTTTAAAAATACACACTACTATTTTGTGATGACAACAACAATGCTAAATCATTACAGTCTTGTGGGCAACCACAGTAAGAAAATGTCTTTAATACTTTCATAAAAACTGTATGAGGTCTCTAAACAGCAATCCTGCACTTTTGCTCCTGCATCACACTGTCTCTATAGGATTTATTTTTACATTGATAAGACACAGCTGGATATAACAATACAAGATACAATAAAATAAAAGAGGAAAGAAATTGAGGTGCTCCACCAAACTATTTTGAAAGACTGTTTCATAAATAGAGTTAAGTTCACACTGAGGATCTGTTGCTGATAAACCTTATGCCATACCTACAATTTATTGAACTTCCCAAACTCTTTATTGGTTTATAATAAGAACAGAGACATGAGGCTTTATGAGGGATGAAAATTGGTAAGTTGCACGGGCTGTTAATGGAGCTCTGCATGTTAACAAGAAACAATCTCACATTCAGGATCAATATGGATAAGAAGATCTGATAAGTTCATAGCACTATACACTATTCTGCACTCACTTATGTATCAAATTTACATATGTATCTGGAAAAAAAGTTCCATTATTTTTATAGCTGCTTATTAGTCATTTTTATGCTTAAAAGACAAAAAATAAGATTAAATAATATCCTTACATTTACTAGAAAGAACAGCAGTGGTAGTATTTAACACAGTTAGGGCATAATGTGGTGGCAACGAGCCTTTGCAAATTGCAGTAATAAAGGCATCTCTTGATGTTACGAGACCTAATTTTCCACACAAAGCAGCCATGGTCAGCTCTGCTTTTAAAATATTTTCTGTGGCAGCTTCATCAGTGCTGAAACAATACAAAGAAAAAATTATTATAATCTACAAATATTAGAAGCAAATGGCAACAAACAAAAAACATACGTGCACTTAAAGCTGGAAACGAAGCTACAAAAACAAAGATTAAAAATGGTTAGTACATTGATTTGTCGGAAAAAAACTCAAAAGTTAGAATGGGACAATACCTTTAGGAGGACAAATTAAAATATCATAATACAGATAAAAATACTGAATACTATAGTATCTATAGTATACTATGTATCTAACATTAGACAGTTACATGCACAAGAGGAATCATGTAACTTGTCATGGCTAACTGATAAAGCACTGGGCGCATTCTGGGAATATAATAAGTATGACTAATCCCATAATCAATGTGAGATGAGAATGCTTTCAATTAGCAATGGCAGCTTCTGCAATTCCTCTTAAAAACACATAAATATTGAAGAGGATTCTAGTCAATGTAACTTAAGAGTTACAAATCTTTGTGACATTAGTTGTGCTGTCATTTGTTGCTATACTGAAAAGTTTCATGTAGTCATATTTATATCTGTAGCATTTTAAAATTCACTGACCAGAATACTATTTGGGATGTACACCATTGTCAATGTAATCACAATGGTGAACTGCTGCTAATTAACAAGTTGCTGCTTGCATTCCAGGTCACATGCTGGTTGAGCAACTTGAGAAACAACTAGGAATGTGTGTGACAACTGATTAACTAGCAGCAATTCATCACTGTGATTTATGCAGTTATGTCCACAAAGATCACCAATAAGATTCACTTAATAAAAACATTTCTCCATAAAGACAGGAGAACAGATTTGTACTAGGCTTCTTGTTATCTGGTTAAACTACTTTTGAATAATACCCAATCATTTATACACATACACTCTCTCTCTTCCCCATAACAATGTCTTCTCTTAATCTTAGGTGGTGTGCTACTTCAATCATAGCATAGTTGGTTTTATAAGATCTAATCTTACATGTTAGAACGCAATCTCTGAAGAATTAAACAACTATACATTATATACAGATTGAATACCTTGCATCTAGGAGTAAAGATAATGCAGCAAGGAGACCACACCAGCACGCATTCACCATTTCTTCCCAAACAGCTCTGCTAACTTGGAGAAAAGAAGTTGATAGGTTATGAAATAACATTCAGGAATTAAAATATAGCAGATTCACTTACTGGTGCTTAATAAAATATTGTAAAAAGATATCAAAGTTTGAATTTCACATTGATTGTCAGCCAAATGACATATAATCTCACTGCATTCAACAAGTAGTTTAAGTTGGGATCAGAAAATTAAGATTTGCTTTATACATTGCAGAAAGAATGGTAGAAAGAAGAGTTACCCAGTTAAAGATCAGAATTTCTGAATCTGCTCTTTCTGATGTGAACAGCAATGGGAGTGTGACAAATTGTCTAAATAGGTATTAGTATTTTTTTTAAAAAAAACACTAACAATAATCAAATGAACATTTGGTCATATAATCATGTAAGATGATTACAAAAACAAAAAGATACAGCAACAAAGCAAACCTCTATCTTTAAGCATTAGTAAAGGAAGCAGTGAAAATAAATAACATTCACTTCAAAGGCTTCAAGTATATATGCACTTTAAGGAAAAAAGTGGAGGGGCAAAAGAGTTCACACAAAGATAGAAATATCTGTACGCAACCTTATATTTTATTCCTATTATCAACCCTTACTGTGTCTCAGGCATCATCACATACCTGTTTCTTTGTTAGTCTCATCAGATGCTGAATGAAAATCTTGCTGATCTGAAGACTGTGTCCGTGAAGACTGTGCATCAGTTGTTGCAACCTGGCAATCTGTTTCAATCTGTCCTAATTCTTCTTCAATCATATTAGTCATGCCACGGACAAGATCCAATAGACAGTGAAATGCTACTGACATTGCATAGCCTTCAGGAATTGTAGGTGGCTCCACTTTGTCCAACATTTCTAGACTAAGAAATGAAAAAAAATGAAAGTAGAAGAAATGCCAAGTACTCATTGTGTATCTGTGGAAATGTACTGACTTTATTTGCTGTGCTGCCAAAGAGCACAAGAGAAACTGAAACTCGAAAAAGAATAATATAAATTAATTCTCAAGAAGAACTGGAATACAGTACTGCAGTAAACTGGAAGTTAACAAATAGAACTGGAATACTGCAGTAAACTGAAAGTTAACAAAATGACTGGAAGCAAATTATCTGGTAATTTTTAACAAGCTGGAAGATGGAGGGAGATGGAAATTTCCTAAACTGACCACATCAAATCAGCCAGTATTATTGCTTAGTCCACCAGTACACCTAACATTATATCTGCATCAATCATTCCATGAGATCATTGGAATAAGGGATCACATAAGCTCTATTAAGGAATGTGCATCAAGCAATATTCACCTCACACTCAGGAATCATACTCCAATCCTGCCCTAAGCATCACTTATATTGCCCTGGATGCACATAAAGAAATAAATCTGAACAAGAGCACTTCCATTTTCTGCAGGAAGAGCTCCTATGGATAGTATTCAGTTTCCTGTTGATACATCACCATCCATGCATCCAAGGCAAGAAAAGAGATACAAGAGGGCTGGATGATGGTATTCCTACTAAATGCATTGTGGATATTCCCTAATGTGAATGCATGAAAGGACCTCACTTGATGGCCTCACTTCCACAAGTCACTTTTATAGAGTTTTTTCTTTGAGGACTTTGGTAGAAAATTTTCAAATTTACTACCATTGTCTTATAAATGCTAAGTGACAAGGGAAGTTTTCTTTGGTTTTGCTTTTCCAGACATTGGAACATTCTCCCACAGAAGGCCATGCTTTGTTGTCGTTCCGCAAGCAGGCAAAGACCTTTCTCTAAGGAAAGCTTTCCCTCATAAATGGCTACATGAGTGCATTTTTTTAGATGGATTGTGATGCGTTAGTGCTCTGACTGGGTCTTTACCGTAGTACTACTTGTGTTTACCATCTCTCACAGTGGTACTTGTCTGCTCCTTTTTAATATTTGTATACTTATTGTTTCAGCTTTAATACTGTCTTTTAATAATGTAAGCTTCCTCTTTATACTCATTGTTCTTAGCTTTACATATTGTCTTTTAATGAGGTAAACCATAATTGTACAGTGGTGCCTCGCTTAACGACGATAATTGGTTCCCAAAAAATCGCTGTTAACCGATTTCGTCGCTAAGCGAAACACGGTTTCCCATAGAAATGCATTGAAAATTGGATAATCCATTCCAATGGGAACGGATTGCCGTCCTTAAGCGAAAATCGCCATAGGAAACATCACTAAGTGAAACACAGTTCCCCAACTGAAATGCATTGAAACCTATTCAATGCATCGCAATGGGGGGAAAAATTACAACAAATTTAAAAAGAGTCGGAACAAAGTCAAATTAGTTTAACAAAGGGTTTATTAAGTGCACTTATGATTTCAAGCATTCTAAACATTTTTAAACATTTAAAAAAAGCCAACATGAGGCTGTCAAAACCATCGTTAAGCAAAACAGGGGGACCCAAACTGTCATTGCTATGCGAAGCATGGTCCCGAACATCGCTATGCGAAAATCGCCCATAGGAAACATCGTTATATGGACCGCAAGATCGCTCCGAAAAAGTCATCACTAAGCGATTTCATTGTTAAACGAAGCAATCGCAAAGCGAGGCGCCACTGTATATTCATTGTTTTCAGCTTTAAATACTGTCTTTCAATGTTGTAAGCTGTCTTGGGTCCTTTTTAAGGAGAAAGGTGGGGTAAAAATATTTTTTATAATTAAATAAATAATAAAGAAACATAGTCTAATTACAACCTTCTGCAAGACTCAAGATAGAGACGAGCAATTCAAATAAGTAAAATTTATTTTTAAAGGGGTACCTGAAACAGAATCAGTGTAAATTTTTGTTGCCATAATCTTTCCTTGAAAAAAACTTGGTCTGATTCTGAACTGATGTATTTTTGGTGCAACAAGGAAACGACTCTGAGACATGTAAGTGAAGCACTAGAAGAAGTTTCTGTCAACATCAATGGACGCAACTAGCCACCCAAATTAACCATTAGTATAATAATCACTTCATGTTAATCACCAGCCATTGGACTGAATATAACTTCTTATTTTTGCATTACATTTATTTTTAAAGAAAGAAATAGAAATAATAACCACCCTACCAGAATTCTAATATCATCAAAGAAAAACTGGAAATGAAGAGAAAGGAAATGGATTATCATATTCCCATCCACAAACAATATGATATTGGAAATTAATGTTTCTTAAGAGTTTAGAAATAATTATTTTACTTACTAAGTAGCTTTAGCACTGCCCTGTGCAGATATACTGAGGATAGGTATCCAGGTACCTCTATATTCAAAAGCAGGTAGTACAGTCACACCTCCACCCATTCCTAGCATTCCTGGAGCAGTTTGTGCTGAGGCTGTACCAACTGGCACACTGCCTCCTGTACATAGAACCAATTAGGAAGGGGGAAAAAAAACCAAAGTGTGTATCAATTTCTAGAGAAAAAACAAACTATAGCACAACAATTTTTAGTCAAGCAGAATATATCTCTTATAGCATCATAAAATAACAAGCCTATGATGAAGGCTCTTTAAACGACTTATTTCTATCTATTCTGACCCCTCTGCTCCATCCCATCTGATTTATCTACTCCAGCACATCTCTCTTTGGCTTGATGCATGGTTATGCAAATGAGCAGATCTGTGGGCTGCATGTACCCAGTTTTGCTTCTAAACCAGAACTGACTAGTTCGGGGCAAAAAGAACACCATTGACCCTGGATTCATGCCTTGAGAATAACTAACCAATTTGAGCCACTTTTTCTCCCTGGGGCATGTTCTGGTTACCTGACAATATATATTCCTATCTCTGGTATAAAAGGGCTTGTTAACATCAGTAACTCTGCTTCACAAAATGAAAGATATGAAGAGCTCAGGAATTTCAAACAGCAGCAAATTACATCTCCAAGAGACCTCCAATGCTAAAACATGTTAATTTTTTGACAGTTTCCAGCTCTTCTTTCAGTGCTGAGTATAGCCTCTTTCTAGTTTCTTCTAAAAGATTTCACTTTTATCAACATTTATTATGTATTTATGTATTTATGTATTTATGTATTTATGTATTTATGTATTTATTTATTTATTTGATTTATACCCCACCCATCTGGTCTAAAAGACCACTCTAGGCGGCAACATGAATTGGTAATTTCCTAGCATAATGATCCCTGAAGAATATAGTCCGAAAATAGGTGAACAATAAAGGAAAGAGTAAATCTGTTAGTCTCACAAAAGGTGGCCTATAAATAGTGTTTCTCTGAAAATAAGACAGGGTCTTATATTAATTTTTGCTCCAAAAAAACACATTAAGGCTTATTTTCAGAGGATGTTTTATTTTACAGTCATGTCAGCTTCTTCTGGTTGCTGCACAATGCTGCACAATGGTGAAGGGTGGGGTTTCACTTAACTGGAACTTATTTTTGGGGTAGGGCTTATATTATGAACATCCTTAAAAATCATGCTAGGGCTTATATTCAGGTTAGGTCTTATTTTCAGGGAAACGGTATGAACAGAAATAAGTTATTGGAACAGGACTGGCTTTGCAGTAAAATATTGGGAAACGATGAAAAACAACATGAATATACAATTTTACCTGTTTGGTTTGTTGTAGCGGAAGCATTCCCTGTGTTTGGTACAAGAAATAATGATTGAATAAATGACCCCAGAGCATTCACTATGTCACGGAATACCTTAGTAGAATGCTGCTTCATATCATAAGACTGGCAAAAAGACCTGTTACAAATTTAAATAATAAAAACATTATTTCTATGTACAAAAACCTTTAGTGAATCAGTCGATATATTTTATGACAATTATGGAATGATCTATCTTATACTGAGTGAAAAGTTGATGTTAGATCCAGCAAGACTTCACACTCAACAAAAAAATTAACATTTAAGAACTTCCATTATATTTTATTTGATGTATTACTTGATATACATTCATTACCTTAAGAGCTGTGGTTGCACACAAAGTCTATGTATAGATTCTACTGCAACCGCTCTTAGCCACTGAGGTTTGTCTGCATCAAGAAATTTCACAAGCAAAGACAGGAAGATTTCACATTCGGTTACCTAAATAAAAATAATATATGAATTAAAAGAAAATGAGGACATCATTTAACACAGAATTTTTCCAATGATCAAATGGATGACATTCTGAAAAAGAGCTATTTAGCCTGCAATCCTATTGCCAGTATCCTTAATTTCAGCAGCGACATACAGATTATTAAATCCTTAATTTCAGCAGCGACATACAGATTTCCTCTGTTTGTGTTATCTACTAACAGACTCCCCCTTCACGGATTGCTGCCTTGTTGTAGCGAATGGGCTTGAGTAATTCAGAGAAGCTATGGGCTATGCCATGCAGGGATACCCAACACGGACAGATCATAGTGGAGAGTTCTGACTAAACGCAATCCACCTGGAGCAGGAACAGGCAAGCCGGAGCAGGAACAGTACCTTTGCTAAGAAAACTCCATGAACAGAAACAAAAGGCTAAAAGATATGACGCTGGAAGATGAGCCCCTCAGATCGGAAGGCGGTCAACATGCTACTGAGGAAGAGTAGAGGACAAGGACAAGTAGCTCCAGAGCTAATGAAGTGGTTGGGCCAAAGCCGAAAGGACGCTCAGCTGGGGACGCACCTGGAAGTGAAAGGAAACTCTGATGCTGCAAAGAAAAATACTGCATAGGAACCTGGAATGTAAGATCTATGAACCTTGATAAGCGGGATGTGGTCAAACAGGAGATGGCAAGAATAAACACTGACATCCTGGGTGTCAGTGAACTAAAATGGATGGGAATGGGTGAATTCAATTCAGACAATTATCATATCTACTACTGTGGGCAAGAAACGTGTAGAAGAAATGGAGTAGCCATCATAGTCAACAAAAGAGTGGGAAAAGCTGTACAGGGATACAATCTCAAAAATGATAGAATGATTTCAACACGAATCCAAGGCACACCTTTCAACATCACAGCCATCTAAGTTTATGCACCAACCACCAACGCAGACTTCTAAAGAATAGCAAGGAGAGACAAGAGGGCCTTCTTAAATGAACAGTGCAAAGAAATAGAGGAAAATAACAGAAAGGGAAAAACCAGAGTTTTGTTCAAGAAAATCAGAGATGTTAAAGGAACCTTTTGTGCAAAGATGGACATGATAAAGGACAAAAATGGCAGGGACCTCACAGAAGCAGAAGACATCAAGAAGAGGTGGCAAG